ATACATACATACATACATACATACATACATACATACATACATACATACATACATAACATGCACACACATACACACATACATACACACACGTACACACATATACACGTATATACATACATATACACACACACACACACGCATACATAGGGCCTACACACATACACACACACATACACACATACTTGCACATACACACACACGCGTACACACACACAAACACACACACACACACAGACACACACACCCATGCATACAGTGGGCGATTTAGTTTTTCTAGAGTCTCTCCAGACGGAGAGAGTTAATTAAAATGGCTCGTTTAGAACTTACATGCAGGTGCGCGGGCGATACAAAAATTCTAGCCTTTCAAAGGTGGCAAAAGTTGTTGTTGGCTATAAATAGGTTGACAATCTAGGTTAAGTCCACTCTTTACTTAAGGGCATGGTAAATAAACTCAAATTGGAAACTTGTTTTATGGTGTGTTTTAGTGCTTGAGGCTTTTCTTTGAAGGCTGATTAGATGATAGATGCCACAGAAAACACAAAAATGTGCGTTCGTATTGGAAAAAATTGGCCCCAAAGTGTGCGAGGCTCACGCAGGCCGATGTTGTTCAACAGTCAATAGAGGCGGGAGGCTGAGAATGTTACTGAGTGTTAAGGGTCTCCTGGGAGGAGGGGGGGGGGGGCAATAGTACACAGACTTCAACATACGTTAAGGACCACTTGCACACACTCTGAGTGGTCTTCTTGGGTCGACCTGCACGTCGGCGTTCTTGGACTGATCCAGTGGCTTGATGTGACACTGTAAGCCTTCTGGCAACCTCTCGGGCTCCCACTCCATCCTGCAGCCATGCCATAGCTCGGTCACGATCAGAGTCTCTCAGCTTTCGTCTTGGTGGCATGTTGATGCGATACTGGATTATGCGCAAACAGCGGTTTGTATTGCCACCAAAGTGAGCGCAGTTCGAGACCGTACGTCCATCAATGACGTGCACCAGAAATTTTAACTGAGGAATCTCTGTGGTGTTTGCACACAAGTGGATTAAAAACAGCAAATTTGGCTAAAATTCCCCGATGATTTTCGTGTTGCACGTGGTGGTTTTGCCCCGTAATCGGGATTGCTCGCTTTTAAGGTCAAGCGGGCTAGCCCAAATTTCGGGGGTTTCCAGAAATCTTGACCTACACCAAAAGATAGCAGTGCCCTACCAATAGGAGAACTTCGGTTTTTTTGTGTGTTTATTTGTTTGGTTATAGAGAAAACTCTCCATGTCTTATAAAGAAACTGAACAAGGGTCCAAAAACGTTAACTTCAATGTTCTCATAACAGCATTTTTCGGGATAGCCCCCTTGTTCTTAAACCTATCTATTTTGTACCCCCAGGGTTGTATTCTTCACATTTTAGAATACTTTTAGAGTGAAGATCTCTTTGAAGCTTTCAGTATTTCTCAAAAAATCATTTTGACAGACTGCTATGCAAAGCGTACGGATGGGATTAACGAGTC